CTCCTCATCCTACTGTAGACACAGTACTCCAGATGAGGCCTCACCAATGCCGAATTGAGGGGAATGATCACGTCCCTCGATCTGCTGGCAATGCTTCTACTTATACAGCCCAAAATGCCGTTAGCCTTCTTGCAACAAGGACACACTGTTGACTCAAATCCAGCTTCTCATCCACTGTTATCCCTAGGTCCTTTTCTGCAGAACTGCTGCCTAGCCACTCGGTCCGTAGTCTGTAGCGGTGCATGGGGTTCTTCCGTCCTAAGTGCAGGACTCTGCACTTGTCCTTGTTGAACCTCATCAGATTTATTTTGGACCAGTCCTCTAATTTGTCTAGGTCCCTCTGTATCCTATCCCTACCCTCCAGCATATCTACCACTCCTCCCAGTTTAGTGTCTCTGGAAACTTGCTGAGGGTGCAGTCCACGCCATCATCCAAATCAGGGGTGGACAAACTTTTTGGGCCAAGGGCCACATCTTGGTGGGGAAATTGTATGCAGGGCAGGGGGTTGGGGTGTGGGAGCGGGTGTGGTGTGCAGGAAGGGGCTCAGGGCAAGGGGGTTGGGGTGAAGGAGGGGTGCAGACTGCGGGAGGAGGCTCAGGGCAGGGGTTGAGGTACAGGAGGGGTGCAGCGGGGATAGGGGGTTGGGGTGCAGCAGGGAGCTCAGGGCAGGGGGTTGGGGTGCAGGAGGGGTGAGGAGTATACGAGGGGGCTCAGGGCAGGGAGTTGGGGTTCAGGAGGGGTGTGAGGTGCAAGCAGGGGGCTTAGGGCAGGGAATTGGGGGGTGGGATGCAGGAGGGGTTCGAGCTCTGGCCCGGCGCCGCTTACCTAAAGTAGCACCGGGGTGGCAGCGGCGCGCACCGAGGCCAGGTCCGGCTCCCTGCCTGCCCTGGCCCCGGCCCCACGCTGCTCCGCTCCAGGAAGCGCTGCAGCCCCTGGGTGAGGAGGGGGGCGGAGGGCTCTGTGTGTGCTGCCCTTGCCGCGCCTGCAGGTACCTCCGCCGCAGTTCCCCATTCCCAACCAATGGGAGCTGCAGGGGGCAGTGCCTGGAGGCAAGGGCAATGCATGCGGAGCCCTCTGCCCCCCTGCCCAGGGGTTGCTTCTGAGAGTGACGCCAGGCCTGCGGCGCTGCGGGCCGGATCCAAAGCCCTGAGGGGCTGGATCTGAGCCGTAGTTTGCCCACTCCTGCTCCAGATCATTAATGAAGATATTGAACAAAACCGGCCCCAGGACCGACCCTTGGGGCACTCCGCTTGATACCAGCTGCCAACTAGACATGGAGCCATTGATCACTACCCGTTGAGCCTCATGATCTAGCCAGCTTTCTATCCACCTTATAGTCCATTCATCCAGCCCATACTTCTTTAACTTGCTGGCAAGAATACTGTGAGATTGCCAGCCCTGTAGTGCAGCGGGGCTAAGGCAGGCTCCCTGGCCCCGTGCCACTCCCAGAAGCGGCCGGCACCATGTCCGGGGGGGGGGGAGCAAAGGTCTTGCGCTGCCTTTGCCTGCAGGCATCCACAGGCGAGGGCAGTGCACGGCAGAGCCACCTGTCCCACTCCACCCCCAGGAGCCATTGCCGGACATGCTGGCCACTTCCAGGAGTGGTGAGGGGCCAGGGCAGGCAGGGAGCAGAGTTTTAAAATATTGAGCACATAATTTTTTGGTGCAGAATCCCCTCAGGAATATGGGGTGCTGTGCAGGGCACGGTGTGGTGCTGGCCCGCCCTCAAGGGGAAGGGGGATGCTGGCAGCACAGGGCTGGGCAGGCCAGTGTGCGTCTGGCAGCTGCAGGTTTGTAAACAGTGCTCTCCTGCTGGGCTGCGCAGAGCGGGACTGCTCCCGCTGCGCTGTGCCTCATTGCCCCCAGCCTGCCCTTCGCTCTGGAGACTGACCATCCCGCCCCCTGCACCTTGCCTCATGGGGGCCCACAAATATATTTGGGGCCGGGCCCACAAAAAGTTAATCCAGCCCTGGATGCCACTGGCTATTTCTCTGGACATGAAGGGAGGACAGAGGCCTAAGTGTTACTGCTCCTTTAACAGTATATGAGGAAAGTGGAAGAGAAGTTCAGCCTTGGTTTTGTTGTTTGTTGGTTGAGTATTCTTAAAGGAGATGGTGGGGGAGGGAAGGGAATGGAGAAGTTAAAACAATTGCCTCTTTTAGTGGTGGGAGGGGAGTGAAGCTATCCATACCACAGAGGGAGAATGGGATCCTGTGATGGAGGGGAACTGATAATGAATGTGAGGTGTATGAAATGAAGGAGATAATGAGTAAATACAAATGTGGAAAAGATGGAGAGTGTGGGAGAGACTATGGTCATTGGCTCTTAAACTTGAACAGATGTTCATTACACCTGCCAAGCATTAATTTATAGTGGGTGATAGCCACCAATAAATCAATGTATATTTTCTTCCCAGTAAGTTGAGTTGTTTGAAACCCTGTTTTATTCCTCCTAAATGTTAAGGCGGGTGGCTTGGGTCACTGGTATATTTCTGCCTGTCTAATAGACTTCATTCTTGGGTTAGTAGGTACTGGGTAATTTTTTTCAAGTCCTGCTCTAGCCCTGTTACCTTGAAGCTTTATCTTTAGCCAACTGGTGCTTTAGCAGGGTGGATTTGATTTAAATCACTAGTCAGGAAGACTCGATTTAACCATGGATTTCTACATAAAAGTGCATTCTTATTGGTTATAACCTTAATACATATTCTTCACAACTCAGAGATAGATGTAGGTTTCATTTTTAGAAGGTACACACAAATCACTTGAAAAATGTATAATTTTGAAAACTTTTCAGATTAGTTTTACAGCTATATCAGAAAATGAATGATTGGTTATTTCATTTACCAAAGGTAATTGAAGCAGATAGTTCACCTCCCAATTACTTTATAAATATCTCCAATTCAACAGGTTAATCATTAATATTTCGAGGATTTTCTTGCCATGATGTATTAGGAGGAGAACATCGCCAGATAGACATTTAAATTGCTTTGTTTAACTAAAACAACAACGTTATGTATTCAACAGCAAACATAATATTTTAACAAAACAAGCATATGAATTTTTGAATTTCATTAAACCATCAAGTTTTTTAAAATCAGGTTTGTTTTTGTTAAAATTGTTTTCAACTAAAATAGTTAAATGAAATATTAAAAAAAAAATTAAATCGACTGTCAGCCAGGTCAACACGAGAAACTTAAAATATTGGCTTCTAATATTAAAAAGGTTAGCTGCTAACTCAGTTGTCTTCACCTTCATTTTTCCTGTTTGTTCCTAATCTGGAAAAGAAAAACAAGTTTTCCTGCTTTTTCAGGTCCCAAACGATTTCTCAATTTGGAATGAATTAGTCCAAAGGAAAAAAATATTCTTTCTACACCGGCAAAAGAAGCTACTGCTGTTAAAAGTGAGATTATCACTTCAACAGTCTCTGAATCCAAGTGCTTAAGTGACTTCCACCAGTTCATTGGTGTGACTTTCTTTAAAATATCATCAGCAAACATATATTTCTTGAATGGTTCTTATTCCCAAACTGGGTCTCTTTTACGGCCTGCTGCCATTATAGGTTTTCCCTTCTAGTGAGAGAATGGTATGGTAGATCTCAAATCAGTTTATTTAAAAACAATTTTGCTGTTAACAAGCATGTTATCTCTGGAGACACAACTCCACAGTTTGAGAACTGCAAAATTAAGCATCTCTGATGGTATCTTCTAGACTGAGCACCGAGTCCCATTGGGTAGATAAAAAGATTAACCTAAATAATCTATACAGAAGCCCCTGGAACCCCATAAGATTGGGTCCCTAATCCATGAACTATTGGAACTCATGTACAAAAATTTTCTTAAACATTACATGAATATATTGTCTCATACTATAGAATTAGAATTTATAATCCCTATTCCATGATTAGATATCTTTGAGCTATAATGTATCTTAATTAAAACTATCTTTAGGTAGGTTTTTTCCTCAAAAAGCATTTTATCAAAAAAATCTGATTTAAATTAAAAAATCATTGATTTTTATCCACCCTGTGCTTTAGGCATAGTGTATTGTGGTGGTTCTGTTTTTGAATGTTTCTTCCTTTGTGGTCTCCTTTTTCCCTTAGAAGGTGCATTAACAGAACAGACTGCTGCTATAGCTTCTGCCTTTGTCCTAGCTATGTATAATAGTTTGTGTGTGATGTTGTGGCATCTTTATTGAACATGAAATATATGCTGTCAGTCATGTTGATATAAACAGTAATTCATCCTTTTTATTTTTTTTAAATCTTTAGTTTAATAGAAGTGGTTGTGTTTTGTTTTTTGTTAATCATACCAGATCTTTTCTGTACTTTAGGTTGACTCCTCACTGCACTGTGAAAACCATTAGGAAAAAATCTTTGTGGTTAAAACCTGGGGCTCCACAGTGTTACCTGCACTTGGGGCTAGAAATTAATTTAAATGGCGACTGATCTGTCTGAAGCTGAACCCTTACATCATAAGGCGCTTCCATTGTTAGCGGGAGCTCAGCTGATCCACACGGACAAGTTAAGTGAGGTAGGGTCTGACCCATTCTCCAAGCTCGCCCTTGGATCAGTCCTTGACTTCCAGCCCTGCTGAGGGTTATTTTATACTCTTCCTCCCCTGCTTGTAGGAAACTTGTTTGGGAGTCTGATTAAAACCCTGTAGGCATGCTTCCTCCTCTCCCCTGATTTCCCTGAGATGTGTCTGGTTTGCCAGAATCCTCAAATGTTCTCCTCATTTAATGAATTGAAATGAAAAGATTCTCTCTCATAAATTGTAAACGGGAATAAAAAATGTGAAACTATTTTGTCTCCGAATGTGCTTCAGAGAAGCTGGTTTGGGTTTTACCTGTAAGTTTAGAAAGCTGATTGCATTAGATCTTGCCTGGAAAATTTCTCCACACACTTCTTCCAGTAGCTTCTAATACTCTGCTTTAGGCCCATTTCAGGAACTTTCTCAGGCTCTCTCTCATATTTGCTTGATTTTCTTACTCTGTTTCTTAAAGAAGGTTGAAGACGACACCATGCCAATCCGTCGTGCTGTGAATTCTTCAGCTCGGGAAACTCCTCCCAAAAGCAAACCTGCTGAAGGTGAGGAGGCCAAGCCAGGTAAAATGAAATGATAATTGTATACTGAGTTACCAATGTGTACACCAACACAGACTTCAGTTCTGTAATTCCTACATAGATATTACCGCCAAGTTTAGAGCAGTCACTAACAAAGAACTCCCATTCATACGCCTTTTTTTTTTTTGTAGTTTAAAAGTTTTTTGTCTTGCAGCCATCATTTGCAATCTGAAACCGTACCTCACTCACTTACATGCACCAGTACAAAACCACATATAAACTAAATTTGTTTTATGATTAATATAGTTGTGGCTTTACTGCATTGCATGAACATATAACCAATAAGCATGGTCTGTTATGATTGCCTGTTGGTTGTTCAGGGTGAAAGTAGAGATATGTGGCTTTCATTGGTGGAAGGAAGGCAGTTTGAGATTGAGAAGGGGAGCTGACGAATGGAGTGTAGACAGGGTGCTGAATGACTTAACTGCATGTTTTTCTGCTTTTTTCTGTTGTGTTGATGGACTATGCAGTTTAGCAAGGTGTAACGCGTTGTGCTCTGGGGACCCACCTCACTCCCGGACCACAGCGTCTCTTCAGGGCACGGCCCTCCAGCTGTGCCCTAACTCCGTTGTCTCCCCCCGTCCGGGGAAACCGGCAGTCCTTCGCCTGGCCTCTCACCGCAGTGGCGAACTACAGCCCCTAGTCCAGCCCCTCATTCAGGGGCAAACTGCAGTCCTTTGGCTGACCACTTCCCCAGGCCCGCCCACTTCTCTGGGCCCCAATGCAGGGACCCTATAGCTGGCAGCCACTCACGGCCTCTCCTTCCCCTCTGCTGCTACCTGCTTTCCCTGGGCCACTTCCCCGTAGCCCCAGCACCTACTTGGCCCCTGTATCAAGGCTTCCGTCTGGGAGCCAGCCAGGCTGGAGCACCGCTTACACCCCTGACCTTGCCCAGCACTGCTCTGTCCCAGGCACTTCTCTCTACAGGCAGCCAGTCCTTCTCCCTCAAGCTTCAGGGAGAGACTGAGCTCCTCTCTGCTCTGCAGCCCTTCTTATAGGGCCCAGCCCGGCCCTGATTGGCTGCTTCTAAGCCTTCCTCTGGTTGGCTGGGTTCTGCACAGCCACTCCAAGGTCTGCTGTTAACCCTTTGCCAGCCAGTGAGGGGCAGCTACCCCGTCACACTACCTCTTTGTAAGATTGATGTACGTTGCATCTCTGATCATATCACCTCTGCTGTATTTCTTGGCAAAAGTGATTCTTGGATATCATATTGAGTTAATCCCACTGATTCCTTTTACCCTCTTTCTTATGGAAAAAAGGAAATTAAAGCAAAAATAGTTGTTAATCCAGCATTTGAATTAATATTTTAAATTCACAAAATTTCAAAGAGAAATGTGCGCAGCAGAACTTCTTAAAGGGAGAGGGAAGATGGCTTTCCATAGTGCATAGAGTAGGTTAGGGGCTCTCCATCCAAACAGGTAACGAATGGACAGTTGAAATAATGAATTTACCAGAAGTTTAATCATAGGACTAGAAGGGACCTCAAGAGGTCATCTAGTCCAGTCCCCTGCACTCATGGCAGGACTAAGTATTATCTAGACCATTCCTGACAGGTGTTTGTCTAACCTGCTCTTAAAAATCTCCAATGATGGAGATTCCACCACCCTGACAGGAAGTTTTTCCAACCTAAACTTCCCTTGCTGCAATTTTAAGCCCATTGCTTCTTGTCCTGTCCTCAGAGGTTAAGAAGAACAGTTTTTCTCCCTCTTCCTTGTAACAACCTTTTATGTACTTGAAAACTGTTATCATGTCCCCTCTGTCTTCTCTTTTCCAGACTAAACAAACCCAATTTTTTCAGTCTTTCCCTCATAGGTCATGTTTTCTAGACCTTTAATCATTTTTGTAGCTCTTCTCTGGACTTTCTCCAATTTGTCCACATATTTCCTGAAATGTGGTGCCCAGAACTGGACACAATACTCTAGTTGAGACCTAATCAGCGCAGAGTAGAGCAGAATAATTACTTCTCGTGTCTTTCTTACAGCACTCCTGCTAATACATCCCAGAATGATGTTTGCTTTTTTTGCAACCATGTTACACTGAGTCATATTTAGCTTATGGTCCACTATGACCCCCAGATCCCTTTCTGCAGTACTCTTTCCTAGGCAGTCATTTCCCATTTTGTATGTGTGCAACTGATTGTTTCTTCCTAAATGGAGTACTTTGCATATGTTCTTATTGAATTTCATCCTATTTACTTCAGACTATTTCTCCAGTTTGTTCAGATGATTTTGAATTTTAATCCTATCCTCCAAAACACTTGCAACCCCTCACAGCTTGGTATCGTCCGCAAACTTTATAAGTGTACTCTCTGCCATTATCCAAATCATTGATGAAGATATTGAGCAGAACCGAACCCAGAAATGAAAACTCTAAGGCCCTGTCTAGGACCATGCATGACTAGTGAACATTTAGGTAACATGTTAACATTTTTAAACACTACTGTTTAGTATAAACAAAGACTGTGATGTTTTAAAAACATTAGTTGGTCATGATCAAACCTATTCTTGAAAACAAAAGAATACCAGCCTGGGTATGTTTATATTGATCTCAAGTTTTTGGAAAACTTGTTTTTTGTATCTAAATGTTGTCAAATTTTTAACTGGCAGTGTCTCTTCAGTATTAAAAGGTGTGTAAGGATGCCAGAGATCATCTCAGTCTAGGCAAAAACCTTTCCACTTCATCTAGAGTTAGCACTAAACAGAGATGATAGTGGCTTCTTCTGTGGCATCTCACTTGAGTGACCACAATGATAGTAAACTTCCATAGTCTAGGACGGGTCGGCAACCTACGGCACGTGTGCCAAAGGTGGCACGTGAGCCAATTTTTGATGGCACGCGGCGCGGGCTGAGCCGCTCACCTCGCCGCCGCTCTGGGGTTCCCGCTGCTGGCCCCTTGCCAGACAGGGTCCTGCCGTCGGTCCCACTCAGCACCCGCTGCTGGCTTGGGTGAAGGAATCCCAGGCTGGCAGCGGGCTGAGACCCCGGCTGGCAGGAGCCAGTGGCCGAAACCCCAAGGCAGCCGTGGCCTGAGCCGCTCAGTCGCTGCTCTGGGGTTCCGGCTGCTAGCCCTTGCCAGCCGGGGTCCCCCCGGCCGCAGCCCCACTCACCTTGCTTCTGGTTGGAGTTCCAGCGCATGCCCCCTGCCAGACAGGTTCCAGGCCTCCGGCCCTGCTTAGCCCTACCAGCCGCCAGCTCCACTCACCTCAGCTGCCCATCTGGGGTTCCCGCCAGTTAATAACTGATCACTCAGAAGCCTGTGTGCCGCTTAAAGTATCCAAATAGGTGCCAGACATTGGAAAACTCAGCAAGGAAAAGCAAGGGCAAGGATCACACTAAACTGATAAGATCCGCATTTTAATTTAATTTTAAATAAAGCTTCTGAAACATTTTGAAACCCTTGTTTACTTTACATATAACAGTAGTTTGGTTATATATTATAGACTTAGAGAGAGACCTTCTAAAAAACGTTAAAATGTATTACCGGCATGCGAAGCCTTAAATTAGAGTGTATAAATGAAGACTCGGCACACCACTGCTGAAAGGTTGCCGACCCCTGGTGTAGGTAAAGAAAATGTGGGGGGGAGTGGGTGAAATGAGAAAAGTGAGTTAATTCGGTTTGAGAATTTGTATGTAATGTCTGTTTTGAAGCTTGCTCTGGCATTTTGACTGCTAATCACGACATACTGAAGAGATTAATAAGTTAATAGAACTATTTAAAGTTAGTTTAAATGGATAATTTGAGTTTTTCACAGAGATTGTCTGGGGAAATGGCTGCTTTTGGGTGTGTTTATAAACTCTCCCTGTGCCTTTTTTTAAAGAGTAGAGTTTTGTTTTGGATACAGACTTTCTATTTCCAATTCTTTCATTAGACCCGGAAATCAGCTCAGAGGAATCTGCTTCTACTGGAGAGGAGCAAGAGAATGAAACTCCACCTGCTACATCCAGTGAGACAGAGCAGCCAAAAGAACCAGAGAGTGAGAAGGGAGAAGCAAAGTCTTCTGAAGAAACCAAAAAAGAGTAAGACATACTCCTTTCTGAGTGCCTGGAATTGGGGGGGGGGGATTGTAGGGGAAGTTGGGAAATTTTTTGTAAAGGATCTTAATGAAAAAAGACGACTAAGGATGGAAGCCAAAATGCAGCTGCTGTTTTTGAAGTAAATTAATACAAAATTGAGTATTTTGTTTTGGGGTGGGACAAATTCCTTGGGTTCATCCAGTAGCAGATAACTTTTCCCAGGAAATGATTTGTGTGGAATTTTTTTCCCTTGCAAACCAGATTTGCCTGGAAAATACATATGTTTTCTGCAAACCGGTTTGCTAGTTTGAATATATTGAACATATTCTCCATCTTTTGGGTTTCCATTAGTGCAGGGAGAGGGATATACTTGCGTCACTTGACTGCTGACCTGAAATGAGCAATTCTTCTTTGAGGTGGTTCTGCATATTACTGTTTGTGGGATGTACATACACACAAACTCCTGTTTTGACCCAGAGAATCTACAGCTAGTTGTGAAAAGAAATGGAAATGAAGAGGATGGGAACTGTGTGTACTCTCGGGGCACAGAATACTTACTTGTGGTCCCAACAGGCATTGCTTTTCTAGAAGATTCCAAAGTGCAGCTGGGCTGTAGGCAAATCCCACAAATGTAAATAAGTAGGAGTAATATTCAGGCAAACTGTCTTTCCTGTCCTAGTCAGAGATTCTGTGTAATGGGCTCCACTGGCAGAGTCGACGGGGGAGCAGCAGCAGTCGACTAGATCTAAGTAGATTCACATAGCTGAAGTTGCGTAACTTAGATCGATATCCCCCCCCCCCCACACACACACACAGTGTAGACCAGGCCTAGGAGCCCTATGACAATGTAGGTGTAGTACTATACTGTACTGGCAAAGTGCTCCCAATGTGGACACAGCTTATTCTAATAAAACTGTACTTTTGCTCACATAGTTCCTTCTAGGTATCATGTCTATTCTCTCACACCCTCACCCTCCAAAAGCTAACCAAGCATCATTGGCAGAAGCCAATATAACGATCTACATTAGGGACTGGTACAGCTGTGCTGGTCACACCTGACTGACACAGGTATGTCCACAAAAGTTTGTAGGGTAGACCTGGCCTGCATATGGGCCTCCATCCTGTCTTGGAACCCTGTGTTATCCAAAGGAAAGTTACAGAGTTGTGTGATATACTGTGTGAATCCTTCTGGCTGAAGCGACAAGGGCAGATCTCTAGTTCCTTGTGTCCTTGTTGGTCTTGAACACGTCTGTTAGTTATGCAATAAATTAATTGGTCTTTTGAGGGGTTTTGGATTTATCCTCTGGTACTGAACTACCACAGTCTATGCTTCAGAATATATCAATTTAATATAAAGTCCTCAGTACTTTATCCACTTAGCCTCCTCCTATATTTTTTAAAAAGCCCTTCCTTTTCAAGACAACCTTTTGAGATTTTTTTTTTTCTTTCAGTTTTGCTTCTTTGCTCCATGTGCTGTCTCGGTGCAGTATCTGTTGTCTTACTGTCACTATTTTTTTCCCCCTAAGTGAGAAGGATCAGTCTAAAGAAAAGGAGAAGAAAGTGAAAAAGACCATTCCCTCATGGGCAACACTTTCTGCTAGCCAACTAGCTAGAGCACAGAAGCAAACACAGATGGCTGCCTCCTCACGCCCAAAGATGGATGCTATCTTAACTGAGGCCATCAAGGCAAGTGGAAGACTTCATTCCCTTTGTATGTCAGATATCAAATATATTATGAATCTGAGGATTCTTAGGATTCACAGTTGCATCCTTGCAGTTTCTTATCTTGGGACTAATATATACTTAATTCTGACTGTGGGTAAGCAAAATCACCTTTAGCATGTGTTAAGGCATGGACAAGTAGGTATTCATATACTACAAGGAGTATGTTATAAGTGCGTAGATAAGGCAAGAGATCCTGTATCTGTATTAACATAACTGTGCTGCTGCGATGGTGGGGCAGGGGAAAATAATCATAATAGGAGGTCCAGAAATCCCACTGTGATGTTGTGCCCTTGAGTTCAGGTCAGCTTTCTGTATAGACACGAATAATACTGTACTTTTAAAGGGAAACTTCCTTTTGTAGTGTAGTTATACCATTAGCTATAATGCATTGTATACTGTTGGACTTTGGTGACAGAAATTCCTTGTGGTCAGATGTTGGCTGTGTGCGTGTGTGTGTGTTTTCTCTCTCTGCTGTCCCAGCTCTGCGGAGATAGCAGACTTTGATTGAGCTGCCCACTAAATCCACAGACTCGGTTTTCAGCAAAGGAACTTGGTCAGGTTTATTGCCGACTAATGGTGCTAATGCCATGGCTCAGTGGTACACTAACACCATGTATGCTCGTGACAATGGACTGGCTCAGTGAATGGCTGGACTTTCCATTCTCCCCTTGGCCAGACAAAGACACTACCTCTGAGATACATCTTTATACACAGATACAAACAAGTTACGTGTTGCCCCCTTGACGTGGCTAGTTACTGCCCTCAGACATACCTAGATACCACCCTGTGACGTAGCTAACCACCACCCATTACCATGTACCTGTTGGTTCGATCAAAACATCTCTATCCATCATGCTGTTATCCTGACCTTATCTTCAAGATGGGTTAGCATGTTCCTGTTACCTTTTGGGGAATGTGTTGGTATCGAGGTCTTCTGATACCACCGCTCTGGAATGGGTTTGCATGCATGGCCTGTGCCTAGCACTTCTTAGGAATTTGTGTTTCTGCAATATCAGCCCTGTTCTTGCCAGATTCTGTGAGCAGGCCCTACGTAGCTCACAGCCTGACTCTGCTTTATATCAGCACAGCTTTGACCATTATTTTAGCTCAGGCCTCTGATACAAGGGCTTATGTTTCAAGTCCTCTTCCTACTACACTCTTGACTCCTGGCACTTGAGTTTTGTTTCTCAGTCAGTGATGTAACTGAGGGGGGCTCTTGACTAACTTTTCTCTGTCTAGACTTTGTACCTCTTCCTGCTTGACTCATTAGAAACTGTTGCATTGACTTTGGTTCACTGATGCCAGCAGTCAACCAATCTGCTGTGCTTCTGCTTCTAGCTGCGTTCTACCGGACTTACATTGATTGGCACAGCAATTTGCTATGTGTGTCTTTCAAAGCTTTTTCAAAGCTCAAAATGGATGAAATACTGCAAATTAAGTCCAAAAATGTCAGTGGTCTTAAGTCTACTGCATCCCCACTTCTGGCTGTGGCCCAAGATCCTTTTTGTAGCAGTAACACTGCCACCTTCCCCTTAGAACTCACTCAATGCACACTCCCTTCGCAGGGAGTCTGGGCTCCACCAGCCTTGGTTGCAAAAGACTCTACCTCTCCTGCCCCTGCAGTCTACCGAAGTTTCGTCAAAATCCATTGGAGGAAGAGAGAAGAAATGCTCTAAACTCTAGGTTGCTCTAAATCCTAGATTGCTGGCTGTTATTTAGAAGAGGCAGGTAACGGTGTAGATGCTAAGGCTTATAACTGTGCTCTGTGTGGGTTAAATTCATCCCATGTTACATGACCGTACATGTGGGTAGTTGTCCTAAATCTACCTAGACCTGCAAATTGACTTTATACCTAGAGTTTCATCAAGTTAAACCCTTGGAATTACCAATTAATTGATTTAGGATAACAACTGGGCTACAAAACAAGCAGAATTATAGTATTGTTATAATCTCAAGAGATCTTATACTTAACAAAGAGATTTTAAAGTAACACTTGGTATCCTAAACCTGAATCTCTGAAAGAAGCAACTTTAAAATATGAATTTGTAGCTTAGTTTCTGTTTTTAGCCTGCTAGTTTCACTCTCAAAATTCATGGCAAAAAATTGGGAGTGGAAATTTGGCAATTACTTCCGTAACCAGTGATTAACTCGGTCTGACATGGGTGGAACATATTAACAGTTGTGCAGTTGTTGTTTTGCTGTAAGGAGTGACTAGCTCTGTTACAACAAAAATTGCTACTCCATGACACAGGACAAGTGAGCTGTCCACCTGTTTACCACACTACTTTCATGTTGTCTGCTGTTCAGTCGGTCTGTGAAGGGTAGAAAGATGTGATATTGTTAGTGCTATTCTTTGCTTCTGAAACCAATGTGGGACCAAGGCAGCCCTGGCATGTTGGGCCACTGTGCTGTCATATATGCAACAGTTAATCTCTACCCCTCTGGTCCCATGGAGAGGTAGTTCTGTTGCATGTGGTTTGCTAACTTGTTGGTTCTATTTCAGGCATGCTTTCAAAAGAGTGGTGCATCAGTGGTTGCCATACGTAAATACATTATCCACAAGTACCCTTCACTGGAGCTTGAGAGGAGAGGCTATCTTCTAAAGCAAGCACTGAAAAGGGAGCTGGAGAGGGGAGTCATCAGACAGGTAAGAGCCACTTTGAGCAGCACTGCAGAGGTGGGTGAAAACACCCATATTAACCAAATAGTGAGACACTCAATGTCATGTCATTTGGGTGATCTTGTTCTCCCTCATGAAGGTTACTATACCTTTGTCTCGGCTTCTTTGATCATTGACAGGGTGTCAGCATTGTTCTAGGAACTATATACTTCGTAAGTTTCTGTACAAGATACAGTTGTTTATATCTTGATGGTGAACTGTGGTTTATGGCATTGCAACAGCTTGTGTTTTCACCGTAAATTTTAGCTGTCTCACCTTTGTATCAGCATGTCTCATTTAAAAGTATGTTTTTTGTCCTGGCAACATCAGATTTCCAGCATCACAGGATCATCTGCTCAAGGCAAACAGATTATGCTGTTATAATTGCCTTTTGTTACCAACTAGCTCCTTAGGGTATGTCTACACCCAGCCGCTAGTTCGGTGGCTGGGAATCGAAGTTCTGGGTTCGACTTATCGCGTCTTGTCTGGACGCGATAAGTCAAACCAGGAAGTGATCGCCGTCGACTGCGGTACTCCAGCTATACGAGAGGAGTACCGCGGCGTCGACGGGGGAGCCTGCCTGCCGCGTGTGGACCGAGGTAAGTTCGAACTAAGGTACTTCGAACTTCAGCTACGTTATTCACGTAGCTGAAGTTGCGTACCTTAGTTCAAATTGGGGGGTAAGTGTAGACCAAGCCTTAGTCTTACAGAAAGGTCAGTTCCTATTGTTTAAAATCACCATTGCCTCTGAGGTTCAGTGTGCTGCTCTCTATGATTAAGATAGAGGGCTCAAATCCAAGTCTCTGGATTTGTGGCAGTTTACTGCCAGGATGCCTTCCAATCTAAGACTATGTCTACACTGCACTTTTGTCAGTTGGGGATGTGGGGGGGGAGAAAAAAATCCCTGACCGACAAAAGTTTTACCGATTAACAGCGCCGGTGTGGACAGCATTTTGTCGGCGGGAGACGCTCTCCTACCAACAAAGCTACCGCCCCTCATTGGGGGTGGTTTTATTTTGTTGGCAGAAGAGCTCTCCTGTGTCACTGTAAGGTGCGCAGTGTAGAGGTAATTCTTTGGCACGATATACTACAGCCTTTCTCAACTGGCCATTATTGAAAGTTAATTTATTGCTTACTGGGGAATGAAATGGAAATTATTCTTTTAAAATAGGTGAAAGGAAAGGGAGCCTCTGGGAGTTTTGTGGTGGTCTCTAATGCAGGGAAAACTGTTCCGAAATCCAGAGACAGAAAGGTAAGATGTATCAGTTTTAATAATAAATATGGTCTCAAAGGCCTTTGAGGTGCCCAGCAAAATACAACAAAAAACATATTGTACAAAATGCAGTATGGCCAAAAACCAGACACCCAACAGCTGCTCCTTCCCCTTCTTTCCCAAATATAATCAGTAAAACATGTTCTCACAGGTAATTTTTTCCTGTCATAGAAATCATTTAGTTGGTCTGTCTAGTTCTTAATGAGACAAGGTGGGTTACATAATATCTCTTACTGGATCAACTTCTGTTAATGGAAGGTACAAGCTTTCAGGCTTCATAGAGCTCTTTTTCGGCTCCGGAAAAAGTAATCCGTGTCACAGCTAAATACCAGGTGGGACAGATTGTTAAGCATAAGTGGTTAACACGTTGCAGGAAACCATTTAAAATGATTTTAGTAATAGTACCTCTACAGTCATAGGAAAAGAAGGTTAGTAGGTTACAAATTGTAATTAGCCGTAAAACCAGTGTCTTTGAGTCCATGACTTTTAGTGTCTAACAGAGTTATGAATTTATGGTCCCAGGGCCTTCTTTTGAAGTTTCCTTTGAGGATGAGGACTGAAAAGTCAGATATGGATATTTGCAAAAAGTGTTCACCCACAATTGTATAGTGGTTTTTTTTTTTTTTTTTTTTTTTTTCTTCCTGTGAGAGCTCATTCGAGAACGTAGTGGTTGTCTCACTTCACCCACATAGTTCTTGTAGGGGCATTTGATGCACTGGCTGAGATACATCAAACATTGTGGTAGGTACATGTAGGACACATGGATTTTAAAAGGTGTGTCCTGGGGGGTGTTGATGTCTGTAGGTTATGCATTTGTTGTGATGGCAGAGTCTGGTGCTGCTTTGACTTGATGTGACCTGGTCTGATGATGAGCTTGGTGAGTCTGGGAGGCTATTTAACGGTCACAAAAGGGGGGTTGGGTATTTTTGTTCCGTGTTGAAGCAAGTTTCCTCAGTATTTGGGTGCCCTGTTCCTTTCGACTTCTCTGGTGCAGTGTCTGGTGAAGGTGGTTTTAAGTGGTTTAGAGTGTGTTTCCTGGACTTTCTCCTCAGAGTATATTCTATGGTATCTGAGTGCCTGGCTGTAGATAGCAGATTTCTTGGTGTGTCTGAGGTGGTTACTGGATCTGTGGAGGTAAGTGTGTGGTGATCTGTGGCTTTCTTGTGTATGGTTGGCTGTAAGTTTCCATTATTGAAGCTGATCGTGGTGTCCAGAAAGTTCATGCTGGTGTGGGAGTGTTCTAAAGAGAGTTTGATGTGTGGGTGTTGGCGTTGAAGTTGTGGTGGAAATCTATTGAGGGAGTTTAGGTTGTCTGTCCAGAGGATGAAAATATAATCGAAGAATCTCAGGTATATCATAGGTTTTGTGGTGCATTTGTCGAGAAATTCTTCTGTGGCCCAGGAAGAGATTAGCATATTGAAGAGCTGTCATAGTACCCATGGCTGTTCCCATGATTTGGACAGAGTGTTAAATGTAAAGTTGTTATGGATAAGGATGAAATGAATGAGTTTGTTAAAGTTTTTGGTGTGGCTATGTAAGTATTGTCTATTGTCTTATAGATATTTGAGGGAGGCAGCGGTATGATGAGGGATGTTGATATGACATCTGGTGGCAAGGATGGTATTCTGAGAGAGGTTGTTAATGTTAGAGTTTCTGGAGTAAGTCAGTTATGTCCTTTAGGAAACTGGCCCTTTATGTGGTGAGTAGCTTGAGGATGGGTTTTCATATTCCTTCAGTAAGAGTGCTGTGGCAGATATGATGGGTCTTTCTGGGTTCCCTTGTTTATGTATCTTGGGATGTGTGTATAAGGTCCCTGGGTTATGTTTGTGGGGTATGAGGTTGTAGAGTTTCTCTTGGAGCTGTTTGTGGAAGGATTTGATGATCTCCTTTAATTCCTGTGTGAATTGTAATGCAGGGTGGTCTTTGAATTCTCTATAGTAGGTGGTTTAGAGAGTTGTTGGCTGGTCTTCTCGTAGTCATCACAGTTGTTAGTGGACAGACGTCTACCTAAAATCACCATAGAGAGGCTGAAGAGTGAATGGCCATGAGAATTGGGCTTCTCTTCTTACTCTTAGAGGTGGATCCCTCCCAGGGCTGTGTGAGGGAACCTTGCTCCTGTGGGATAAATGAAGGACTTTCAGTCTCCAGGGCTGACAGATTGGACCCCTTACATCAGCAATGAGGAAGAAAGGGAATACAAATGTCTTAGTTCTCCTGAAAGGAGGCCAGAGATGCAATGTGATGTATATTGTATCATGCCTAAAAATCAGGTATAGTTCTTGAGCTCAGATGCCCTTGCTCAGATGCCCTTCCATCTTAGCTTTCCCTCTCCCTCCTTGCTGTGGTAATGGCTGTGCAGCATTTATGCTTTGGGTGCCAACTAAGTGATCTCCAATCCACAAAAATGGAATATCCATTGATGTCCCAGACTTGAGTCCTGATGTTTTAAAGGTGGTATTGCACTGAGTATTTGAAGATATTGGAGCTTACTTCCTGTCTACCAAAGAAACCAAGAGGCCTAGAAAGGATAATGATGGTGACATTTATGGGTACTTAAGGTGTGAGAAGGAACCTACTGCAGAGTTGTTCCTTTTTTAAAATAAAGCTGTGTTGCTGCATTAAAGACTACTGCAGCTGATCCATGCTAATATGTCACTTCATGTCCTTGCAAAGCATTAAAGCAAATCAGTATTTCTCATAGCTGTTTGCTTTCTTCATGTCGGATAACTTAGCCTGCTGCAGCAGCAATTAATAATCTAATTAAAAACAAGTAGCTAGCAACCTGACCTGTTGTGAAAACTGTCTGGATGTGCAGTTCCCACACGTGAATAACTATTCACAAATCTTCTGCATTTTCTTGCCTTTGATTCTTCACCAGGATATTTTTGTCTAAAGAGCAGAGCTCCCCTTTCTAATCATCCATCTCCTGCTACTGTGGAACTGATAGGGAAACCAACGTGTGAAGGCTTGATTAAAAGGAACACCAACTTAAAAATCACACTCCGGTCTTTTTTGTTTCTACAGATTAATAGAACTGATGCAGAATGCATGGGGGAACCTTACCTTTTCAGTTTTGCTTTTGTGCATTTGATGATAATGTAAAGTCAGAGTCACATAAACAGATAAAAACTTTCACACAGCAATTAGGAATGGGAGAAGAGACATTAAAACGATAAAAAGGAAGATGTGACTAAACCCACATGTGGTCAAGAGCATTCAGGTCAGGTGTATTAACTCTGTTATTTAAGGCTGGGATCGTAAGTGCCCAGCTCCATTAGGCTCCTTTGAAAATCCCAGACAAATTGACTAGATTTCATGTAGACAATGCCCCTTTAACTTGTTGATGCAACATTAAGTTTGAAAAGCTGCCTTATTGTAACTTTGTTTTATTAAGCATGTAGCCAGGTTCTTCTTCAAGTGCTGATCCCTATTCATTGTGGGTGTGCACGCTGTCTGTGTGCCTGGTACTGGAAATTCTTCAATACCAGTGTCCGTTGGTCCATGCTTGCACTCTGCGCCTCTTTGTGCCCCCAACCAAGAACATAAGGGGTGGTGCGGATCAGCAGTCCCTCCAGTTCCTTTTCTACAACTTGTGGTCTGTGATGGAACCCTCCTATGTCCAATTCTGCTCTTCAGTGCTCTGCTTCGTCAAACCTGTAAATATTGTAAATAGTTGTTCAAAGTTTTAAATAGCTTGAGTTTTGGGTACCTATTATGCCCAAAGTTCCAGGCTTCAAGCCTTGCCTGGCTAGCCCCCAGGTCTTCCTACTGAGCGACCCACATGAGAGCTGCCTGTATTACCTCGGGGAAGCACACATCCCTTCAAAGTGTGGCATCTGCCACGCTTCTCCCTGTGTACCAGGCAATCTCACTAATTCAGGCTCAGAAGCTATGGAGCTCTCCATGAGGCCCTGTTCAGAACCTGGGCCCTCCTACTCCCCAACTACCTATTCAGAGCCTCCGGGCAACACCCTTCCTGTGTCTTGTCCCAACAGATGGGAGGCCTCGAGAAATGGACTATCAAGCAGAAGCATGAGGAAGGCAAGGGCCAACAACCCCACAAGAAGAGGGACAAATCTCCCCATAAATTCTCTAAAAACGGGTCTCCTTTGCCTCTTCCTCCTGCTAGACTCTGTGCCCCAGAACAGGTGCACCTGGACTACAGGAAGAAGATTACATTGATGGTATTGGGAGCTTCCAGGGTGCTGAAAACTTGCAGTGAAAGGACAGTAACAACTCGTGTACTGCATAGAAACAGGAGGGATCATTCTCTCTCTGCTCTGGTGGTACTGACCCTGCATAAGTCCTCCACTTCTAAGGTGAGATGGACAGTTCAGGCCAAGCCCAAGACACCTGGCAGGCTGGACCTCGATATGCCCTCTTCTAGGACCTAGCTATCTATACAGGTCTGGAATCCTCAGTCATTCTTAGATCCAATCCTGCTATAGGATGTCCTGACTCAGTCAGGCCAACATCCACCAATAGCTTGCCCCAGCTGTGAATTGAAAGCTCCAGTGCAGTCATGTGCTCCCCATCTACTCCTATTCCGGATAGGTCAGGATAGGATTCCGCGGTACCTTTGGCTCCAGTGTTGGAGCATGACATAAGAATGGCCATACTGGGTCAGACCAATGGTCTGTCTAGCCCAGTATCCTGTCTCCCAATAGTGGCCAGTGCCAGATGATTCAGAGGAAATTAATAAAACAGGGCATTTATCAAGTGATCCATCTCCTGTCATCCAGTCCCAGCTTCTACCAGTCAGAGGTTTAGGGACATCCAGAAGATGGGGTTGTCCCTGACCATCATGGCTAATAGTCATTGATGGTCCGTGTTAGGAGAATGTGAAGTAAATAGGGTAAAGACTAAACAATAATAAATAATCTTGCTTCTGGCCTTGCTTTTAGTTTAAATAGGGTGAATAAGCAAGCAAAAGAATGTAAGTGAAAGCACAAGGCTGCACTCCCCTCCTTCGCCCTCCC